GTCCATTGTCCAAGCGGGATGGGGTCAGCACTACGCCAGAGCAAGAGGCGGCTCTCTGGCGGAAAGTCATGAAGTTCCTCCATGACGCCGAAGAGGAGGACGAGGATGAAGAGGAAGAAGAAGAGGACTCCGAGCTAGTCCCTGAGGCCTCGGGCGCTGGAGGCGACAGTCCGCCGCGGGTGGACGTCAGCGCCGCGGCTAGGGAGCTGGCCATGGTCCCTACCGGTGCTGCCTACTATGTCCCTGCTACGGCACCAGGGTCCCGCCCGGCGGGACCGTCCGGTCCGCCGTCGACAGCAGGTTCAGTGCCAGGCACCGCAGAGGGCTTGCAGGCGGAGCTGCGCGCGATTTTCCGTCCAGACCAAGAACCGGTCGCGGACTACTTGACGCGCGTTTCGCGGATTGTCCTCGCGCTGAAAGCGCATGGAGTCACGGTGAGCTCCCGTGACCTTGACGCCTTAAGCACCAAAGCCACCCTCCTTGCGGATGAGTTCTCCAAGATAGGCGGGGACTGGCATCCTACGAAGATGGTCCGTCGGCTGCGGACCAGGTTCTCGGTCGCGGCTTTGCGCGGTGGCGAGGACCCCGAAGACGCAGAGGAGATTCAGCGCGAAATCCAATGCATCGGGGAGCTTATCCTCGCGTTAGGGGGAAAAGAAAGCTCGAGCCAAGAGAAGGTTTGGAGCTCCCCGTCCGATGTGCCAGTTGAAGCCGTGGGGCCGCGTTCCCCAGGGCTCCCACAGCCTGCGACTGCAAGTGGGTTGGGGGTAGGATTGGACCGTGGAGGTTTGCACACTGCTGAGGTTGCAGGTGGTCCTTCCGCGGCCCGTGTCCTGGGCGCGACGGACGGCGATTCCCCTTTGCGCGCGAAGCTTGCTGCGCTAGAGATGGAGATAGAAGCCCTGAAGCGAGGTTCAGACGGCGGAGGTTCGCAGACCGGGTCCCAACACCCGGCGGGCGATCTCGCCGCCGCACTCGCCGCCCAAACTGAGGCGCTGAAAGAAGCGTTAGCGCAGAGGGGCGGGCAAAGCTCCATAACTACGGTCAAAACTGACCTCACGTGGCCGACGCTGACCGACGACAAGTCGGACGCGCGAGACGTTGTCCTGTTCTACGAGGAGTTCGAGGACGTCTGCGCGCTGGCCAACAACTGTCGCGGTATGAGTGCGCGCGAAAAGCTGTTAGCGCTACGCGGGCGCTGCCGCGGCTCGCGCATGAAGACGTACACGAACGCGTACCGCGCAGCGTGGAAATCGGGAGAGGTTCTCTCAGATCCACAGGCGGTGTATGACCGCATCAAGAACAAACACTTGATGTTCGGGGAATCGCGGGAGGAAAGAGAAGTCCGCGTGGATGGTGAGCACGCCTCTCTCGCTAAGGGTAAGCTCACAGGCCACCAATTCGAGCCTTTGTTTGAGGCCTCGATCGCGGACCTTGAGGCAGTAGGTCTCGGGAAGACCCCTCGAGAGTTGTATCTCTCATACCTCCGCAAGATGCCCCCTTATCTCCAAAAGGAGATCCGGAACGACAAAAGGTTGTGGCCTGGCGACCCCAAGGATGGCGGGTTGCGAGGACCGCAGACTTGGGAGGAGAGCCACAAAGTCGTTCTGGAGTACGAGCAGAGAGAAGCAGCGCACAGGGCTGTTTCCCACTCTGTGTACACGGCCACCGGTTCGCAGAGCGCGGACCCGGCGGTCGCGCTGGCTGAGGCTCAGAAGGAGATTAAGAGTCTCAAGGCCGCTGCGAAGGCTGCTGCGAAAGGAGCAGCTGCCGCGGCCAAAGCTGGCGCGGACCAGACGTATGCTGCTACGTCGAAGGGAGCTGGCAAAGGAGCGGACAAGAAGATCTGCTTCCACTTTCGCGATCATGGGAATTGCCCGAAAGGGGATGCCTGCCCGTACAGCCACGACAAGGAGCTTCGCAGAAAAGCTCTCGCGGCCAAGAAGGGTGACCAAACCTTTGCCACTGCGAAAGGTAAAGGCAAAGGGAAGGGAGGTGGCAAAGCAAAAGCCAACGCAAAGCCTAAGGCTGCGGCCAAAGGCGCGGCAAAGCCACCAGGCACTGTTTGCCCCTTTTTCTCCAAGAATGGGTCGTGCAAGAAAGGAGCCAGCTGCGACATGGTCCACAACCTGACGACATCAGGAGGGACGCCGGCCTTGCCTGCCAACTGGGCCCCGCCCTCCGGTGTTTCCATGTCTAACCCCTTCGCCGCGTTCAGTGTCCAGATAGGCAGCTCAGGCGTCCAGGCAGGCGTCTCAGGAGCCGCAGGACACGCCGCGGTGCAGCATCACGCGCTTCCGTTAAGCAAGGGCGGGCGGGACAAGTTC